TCATGAGCGAGGAGAAGGGCAAGGTGCGGGGCGGCCCGCGGCGCCGGGAGCAGCGGGGCGCCCGGCTCCGGGCCCGGCTCATCCCACGCGCTCCCCAGGACGAGCAGAGCACCCTGCAGCTCCTCAAGAAGCACCTGCTGACGGAGCAGACGGTGGAGAACTACGAGGAGACCATCGCGCAGCTCTCCCGGCAGTGCCGGGCGCTGCTCGAGCTGGGGCATCCCGAGAGGTGGGCGGACGCTCCCCGTCCCCGCCGTCGTTCCCGAGGGAGCCGGGGCCCGCGCGCTCACCGGGCGCTGTGTCCCTTGCCCAGCGAACAGGTCAGCAGGCGGCAGTCGCAGGTTGACCGGCTGTACGTGTCTCTGAAGGACCTGGTGGAGGAGCGCAAGGCCAAGCTGGAGCAGCAGTACTGGCTCTACCAGCTCAGCCGCGAGGTGGACGAGCTGGAGCACTGGATCGCCGAGAAGGAGGTGGTGGCCGGCTCCCCGGAGCTGGGGCAGGACTTCGAGCACGTCACGGTGAGCACCAGGTGGCCCTGTGGGGTGGTCTGGCATGGGTTGTGGGTGTCGTGCATGGGCCGTGGGCGCTGGGCATGGACCTTGCTCCATGCCATGGGCCTTGGGCTTCAGATGATGGCTCCACCGTGCCCCGTGGGCGCTGGGCATGGGCCTTTCTCCATGCCATGGGCCTTGGGCTTCGGGTGATGGCTCCACCATGCCCCCGTGGGCATTGGGCATGGGCCTTGCTCCATGCCATGGGCCTTGGGCTTCAGGTGATGGCTCCACCATGCCCCTGTGGGCATTGGGCATGGGCCTTGCTCCATGCCATGGGCCTTGGGCTTCGGGTGATGGCTCCACCATGCCCCGTGGGCGCTGGGCATGGGCCTTGCTCCATGCCATGCTGTGGGCTCCATCTACCCGTCCACGCTCACCTCGTTGCCTGCCCGTCCCAGCTGCTGCAGGAGAAGTTCATGGAGTTCGCCAGCGAGACCGGCAGCATCGGGAACGAGCGGATCTCCGCTGTGAACCAGATGGTGGACGAGCTCATTGACTATGGCCATGCAGACGCGGCCACCATCGCCGAGTGGAAGGATGGGGTCAACGAGGCCTGGGCTGACCTGCTGGAGCTGATGGAGACGCGGGGGCAGGTGCTGGCGGGCCC